GGAAAATAAAGGTTTGTGGTAGGATAAGTAGTGCCATAAAACAACTGATTTACTCTATGTAAAAACTCTAATTTTTGACAAATAAGACTTGCTAAATTCCATTCCTCCTCACTTGGCATGCAATTATAAGACGACTCACGTTGGTTCAACCGAAAATAGACATCTTTATACACTAATGCAGTAGAAAGCATCAAAATTTGAATTCCAACGTGTTTTTACATGAAGAACTAACACTTTGGTTCATGAAACACAAACCTGCCGAGCAACTTCCTCAAATTTTTATCTTCTTTTTGTTGAACCAGTCCAAAATAAAACACTATCACGTATTTTCTCAATGCAATCTTTAATAATCATCAAACCATCTTGAACGATCAAATTTAGAACATGATCAGCACAACTCATAGGCCACAGTGGAACATGCGTGAATAGTGAGTTAGATGGAAGATTTTCAGAGATAATTCTTACCATGACATCATTAGTGGTGCAAATATCAACAGTTAAAGTAGAGAGTTTGCGATAAACATTCCACTGTAGTAAACAATTGAAAAGAACCTTTGAGAGATCTTCACTGATGTGTGGAGACGGAACGTAAATAAACCTGCCCATGTATTAAAAATCAGTACAAGTTATTAGAATCATTTATGATCTCGAAAATACAAAAAAAAAAAAAAAAAATACGAAAAAAAATTAAAACTGTAAGAAGTAATACCTTAACACACGGCTGTGTTGAGGTCCAACAATCATCAATATAATGCCCAGTGACAACCATGAAACCTCGTTTCCTGTTGCTTGAAGTCCACATATCAATGGTGACTACAATTCTGCTTGAAGTAGTTGTGCTAGGAGTAGTTGTGCTAGGAGTTGTAGGAGTATTTATTCCTTGTGGAGATTCCTCTGTACTTGCATCTAGCAAGGGTTTAGCATGAGATGAACTAGTTTCTTGCGACATCCTAATTCAAAATATAAACCTGGGAAATTAGAAATAAATAATAAGTCAGAGACAAAAAACATAAATAAATAGAAAAAAAATCTAAAGACATTAAAATTAGGGGTTTTGATTTTTTTTATAAGAATGAGAGAAATTAAAGCGAGAGAAGAGAACGAGAGAAATTACCTAACCACCGGTAGTCAACACCGGAGATGGAGAGAACGACGCCAAGGTTCGGCAGTTGTCAGTTGACGGGCTGGTGAGTGGTGACTCTTGAAGAACAGAAGAAGAAGTTTTGAAAAGTGAAAGAAAATTGGAAAACCAGGCTGATGAGGGTGGCTCTTGAAGAACAGAAGAAGACGTTCTGAGAAGTGAAAGAAAATTGGAAAAACGTAAGAATCGGTGGAAGAGAAAAAAAGGGGATAGCAAATAATATCTAGGGTTTTTAGTTTAAAATATAATAATATTATTATATATATATTAGAACCAAATTAAAACCAGAATTTAGTTTTTGAACATGATAGAAAATTCCATATATAGAACCTCCTTGTATATATTTTCAGAAATAGGGGGATATTAAACATTTACTTAAATAAATTTATACAATGCCATCTTAACGCGGTTTTTTGTGCCATAATTACTGTATCTGGCACAATATGGAGCCAAATGGCAAATACTCCGAAATCCGGCGCATGTGCATTGCACATGCAAATTATAAGGGTTTTTTGTTCCTCCTCTTTTAAGTTAAAAAAACTCTTGCTGCCCTAATTAGTAGTTTATTTCCCTCCTTTTCCGTTATATTTCATTTTGCCCTTTTCTTATTTTATAGGATTGTATTTTTCAAAGAAAAAATAGTTATTTATTTCTTATCACTTTCTTCTTGTTCTTAATCTTCCAAAAATCAACAATGTGTTCAAAAATTTCTCAGAAATTGGAAGATACATCTATGGTCAATTATTGTAAAGACAAAAATTACGGGAACCGATTTACCACTCATATCTCAAAAAAAAAAAAAAAAAAAAAAAACCGAATATCCTTTGGATGTAGTTGCCCATTGTTGTTGGTGTGGTGTTGTCGCTTGCCGATTATCCTTTTGCTCTTGCCCCAATTTGATCCAATTTCTTGAGTGTTTGGTTAATGGAGGGACGTAAGGCTCGGAAGAAAGAAAGAAATAATAGTGGAAAGTAAGGAAGAAGAGAAGAATATAAGAAAAAATAGGGTCCAATGGGTATTTGCACCTGAAAAGACGAAATTGCCTTGGATTAGGTATGTGCAATGCGCGTGTGCCGGATTCCGACGATTTTGGCCTGAAAATCAGCCCTAGTTGCAATGTGCATTAAAAAAAATCGAGTTTGGGTGTACCTGTGCAAAAAAGTTTTTTTGTTAAGGCGGTGGCAGATTGCAAAACGAGCCCAAGTTCAGATGGAAACCTCCTATCGGACCCTGGCGGCATGGCTTCCGAGATCTAATCATACACCTCGGTATAGTGTGTCTTAATCCAAACTGTCGCATGACACGATTCGGCAAGTAAGACTCAACTATACTCATAAGCTGGATCGTGCCGTAATAGAGTGTACGAGGAACATGCCTATGTATATGTGCACCATACAACATCCAATCAACCTATAAAATTACATTTACATAACAAATATATAAAAATACAACAAGTAACAAATAAATAAAAATGCAAGAAGTAATTAATAAAAACATGCGACAAGTAATAAATAGATAACAATATAATAAGTAATAAATAAAAAAAATGCAACAATTAATAAATACTGATAATGTCAGTGTTCATATTGTCTAGCATCTTTCGGACCTGAAGCGAGTCCCAACCACCTTTACGAAGTTTTCACCTACTGCAACGAGCCTGCATGCCTTATAAGCATAACACCTAGGTGCTCGAAAAATAGGGAAGTGCTCGTAAATCCATCACTACAAATAATAAATCATAAATTAGTTCATAATAAATTTGCACAATAAAAAATATAAATTCGAACTATTGAAATATATTAATAATAAAATACGTGAAGCAATAAAGAACATTCCTGAAACCCTTTCACGTGGGCTCTATTGCTCAAATCCAATTGCCGGTAAAAAAGGGGCAGAACCGCTGCACCCCAAGCATACTCTCCGATATTCTCCAAATCAAGCACAAATCGCATCCACCATGGATTAATATTGTGTACGGACTTATCGGGGAACAAGGCCGCCCCCGATACGAAACGTCAATAAGCCAATAAATTTATGCGGTTCGATCCTCCCTCCACACCCTATCGCGAATCTCCTTGCAACGTATCCCGGAAGATTTATAGTAGGTCTGGGTGTCAACTAGATCAAAGATCCACAAGCTCTGCTAACTGCAACTCACACTGCGCTCTCTCTATCGCAAAACGTCGTCAACTACTAGCCTGTTCACACCAGAGCCGGTCCTGAGGAGAAGCCAGAGATGCCATCGCTTAGGGCCCCATTTTAATGTGGGCCCCAAAATTAAATAAAAGAAAGCCTAATATATATAGATAATTATTTTTTTAATAGAAAAGAATATTGCAAACAAAAATTTATAAGATAAGGGCCTCGATTTTTAATCTCGCCTAAGGCCCTGGAAACCCTAGGGCCGGCTCTGGTTCACACATAAACACAGGATCATCTGAATATCATGCAGCATGATCGTCATCTCACCCTAAGACATGTGGAAACTGTTCGTCTTTGGCCGCCACCTCTCAACAAACACCATTAGAAGACCCTTGTGCACATTGTGTATGTAGAAATGCTCCAGTACGTCAAGGCGTCCAAAGCTCTATCTCCTTCTCGCCATATGGTGTGATGTGCCTCTTGAGCTTGTCCTTTGTAAACACCTGTAGCGAAGTAATCCTTGACTCACATCGTTCCACACGACGCTCCAGCACAAAGTAAATTTTAAAAAAAAATATATCACTAAAAACGTCATAAAAAACTATACACTAAATAAAATTATAAACTTACAAATCCATTCATGTTGGATATCCGCCCGGAGAAACAATTAAATAAAATGCAGCCATTATTAATAAATCAATTCATCTATCATAGTATGAAAGTGCTGCAATCAACAAATTATAACAATTAAAAAATGACGACAATTCAAGAAGGTTTATTTCTACCGTAAGTTAATGCATTAAAAAATTAAGCTACTTAAACCAACAATTTGCATATATATTATAGAAAAATAAAAGGAGTGGTCAGAATTGAAGCACCGATCAATTCACACAGAATTGCAGGTAATGAATTTGGCGGCTGCTCCGGCCATGGTTCGATTTCCCGGCTCAGTCCTCGTTTTCCAAGTCCTCGTCCAAGATCCAAGTAGGGCCTCCTAGCTCTCACGACAGCCACACAAATGCGCGCGCGCATACAGTGTATTCCAACGTAAAAACAAAGAAAACTGAAACCCAAATACAAGCCCTAATCTAATCGCTTTATCCCTGAAAAAGTAAGCTCGAATTCACCGAAAAGAATTGAACTTTTCTTCTCAAAAAAGTTTCTCTTTCACTCTAATTTTTCCTCTTAAAATACACAAAGTATTCTCCTTTTTTCTCGTCTCTTTTTTGTCCCCACACAGGGTGCACTTATACGCAAATCATCCACCAAACTCACGAAGAATCGGGCGACAAATCACCGAGATTTGTTGAGGATAAGAAGAATGATTTGTTGAGAGAAAAAATGGGTAGATTGAAAACTTCTGCCAAAAACAACGAGAGATAGAAAGAGGTGAAGAGAAAGAGAGGGAAAACCAAAGTGAGATTGGGCTGACTTTAATTTTGGGCTCAAATTGTGTGGGCTGCTCGTAAGTGGGTTGCAAGATGGATTGATGAATGAGCCATTCACAAAGAATATATTTGGACCACACTCTACAGTTTGAAACGTAGGCAGGCAATATGAATCTTAAAACTAGAAATGAGATCAAGCTCAATCGGGTCGCTCGGATACGAAGCCTCTAACACAATCGACCCCGCAGTAACATCAAAATCATATCGAGAGCGACGAGCGCAACGAACAGTACCCACCTCAACTAGAAACATCATCATGAACTTCATCGTCATCGTCCGTCATCGTAGGGGATCCGAGAAGGCCACCCTATATCTCTCGAAATCCCTGCCACATCTCTCAACGTCCCTACTATATCGGGTACATCAGGTACATCGGGTGGTCTCTCACTAACTCTCCTACGCTGCTCAGATACAATCATAGGATGACGGCCTAGTCGACCGGCCACAACCTCGGACTCTCGGTGAGGTCTAATCACGACTCTCGAAACCTTCAAATTGTTTGAACGTTTTGTTCTCCAGAAAACGAAACCTTCAAATTTTATGAATGTTTCGTTTTCCAAATGAAATATTCAAAATCTTTGAGGGATTCCCTTTCTGGGAGACGAAACCTTCAAAATCAGCGAACGAAACCTTCAAACTCTTTGGGGTTTTCGTTTTCTGGAGAACGAAACCTTCATAGATTTTGAAGGTTTCGTCTCCCAGAAAACGAAACAGTGTTTTTGTTTTCTTTTTTATTCTTTTTTATTTTTATTTTTTAATTCTTGAACAGTATGTTAACATGATCTCTTTTTTTCTTGCATCGACTTAGGTGTGTACAAATTATGGGCCGCTATGAGGAAGATACGCTTGCAAACAATGTGAAGATATATATTTTTTTCTCAAGGTGACTTTTATATTAGCGATGCATGAATATTTGAAACATTCTTTCTGTCTCGATAAATTTGGAGTATCAATTTCCAAATGTGGAGATATATTTTTTGCATTAAGTTATATTTGCTTGTCTAAGCAGATAACTAACTTATTCACTTCTAAATTCAAGAAACATAATCTTTTTTCACATTAAGATAAGATTTATCTAGTTCTTTTTTATAAGGATTTATCTAGTACTTCAAGTTGGGTGGTTACAGTTGCTTCAGGCATATGATTGAGAATTAAATTTACTTGACCTTATATATGTTACGCAGCATGTACACAATCATTTCAAACCCGATCGTATTTCGACTTCTGCTTCTACTTCCGAGTTCATTCTTACATGTTTCAATTATTGAGATTATTTGACTATAAAGATCCGCAACTTATTTCGTTATTTCTTTGTCCAATCGTGAATGCAGAGTTTCAAGGTAACAAGATGATTTGGATAAGAAGCAAAAAACTTGCATCGTAATGGAGATTTTTCGTTCTCGTTTACGAGAGAGTTATTCCATGTCTCCGTGTGGATTATATTAGTATAAAAAAAATTAGTGTTAATATTAGTATGATAGTTATTAGGGTATGAAGCAAAAAACTCGCATAGTGATTAGTACGCCACGGTTTTATTGTTCGAACTTCTTTATTACACGAAGAAATAATCTACGACACGATTAACTCAAGCTCTGTCCAAAGAGCAATCCTCCTTACCAAACAAGACCTTCTGATTGCCAATATCGTACACAAACCTAACGTTTTGCTGTTGGAAAGAACCTAGTATGGTCATCCGATCATTCCTAAGCATCGTCAGACAAAACCGATCGCTCGTGAAATGAAACAAATTCTCCGGCCCAATCTCGAAATCCCCTCCTTGGAAATGAAACACCATGTTTGGATAATACCTAAACGCCCTCACGAAACGGTAGCACAATCGGCCCTCTGGCACGTTCACTCTCTTGAGTTTAAACCAATCAAAATGATGACTCAGCACTCTCACAACTTCGCTATACGCATGCGGCTCGAGGTAGCTACCGCTGGACCCCACATCCATCATGCATCCCCTCGCGAAGGTCCCGTTTGGCAGGTTCAAACGCCGCCCCGATATGCTTATGTCGAGTAAATTCACCCTGTAGTTATAATCGATGCTGTTTATGAAGCTAGATTCTCTTAAGCCTCTTCCCGTTTTAACGTTTTTGCCGAATCTTAAGAATGTTGTCTTGATTGGGGAGGTGACAGGTGGCAAGCAGTAGGAGAATTTTTGTGACGATTTTGCCCCCATTTGTCCTATCAATGAGAGTGGAGATCTGCTCATGCCCATTATACCCGTTATCCAACTCATGAATTTGCCACGTTGGTTATTCGCGCATCCAAACATGACCCCTTTTATGCTCTCGCGGACCCCTCTTTTGTCCGAAGCGAAACTGAAAGTTTCCGTTGATACGATTCCCGATGAAGATTCTCCAGTTCCGTAGAGTAAGTAGAAGATGGAATCCCCGTTATTTGATCGATTGAAAAATCGAGCGGAGGGGTGGTTTGGGGAGAGTTTTTTGTAAGATGTGGATCTTTTGGGATCGAAGAGGGGGGAATTTTGATTGAAACAATTGATGCATGGTGTGCATTGTGTCCACGTGAGCTCGCTCCCCGTGTCGAAAATGAAGGCCTTTTTTGTGCTTGGTGTGCCGATGTTTGCTTCGATGATGTAAAGGAAATTCGTGAATGTGATTCGAGGGTGAATTGTATTAGGGAAGTAAGAAGTTGATTTATTTTCTGCGATATTTGTTTCGATTAGTGGTCGGAAATTTGTTCGAATGAGCTTTAGGCTGAAGCCTGTTGATTTTGAAGAAGTACTAAGGCAATTAGTGCAAGAATTAAGTAGTGCCAAATGAAGTGAAATGAATAGGAGAAAGGGCCTTTGTGTAGCCATGTTTAGAGATTTGTATATATATATTTATATAATGCATTTTCATGTAATATATAATATAATGGAATTGGTATGTTTTGCTTTTGCTTTTCTTTATGGTATGGAGATAATAAATTGATTTAATCAAGAGAACATCCAAATCTGGCTTTACACAATTAGGCTCTTATCTAAATCTATCTTTAATAAATCTCATATTCTCTCAATGCTTATTTTCTTTACAAAGAAGAAACATGTTTCCAGGTGGTATATAAAAAACTAAATATTGTATATGAAAAATTGTTATTTTCGAGTAACCACAAGAGGCATAACTTGTTGATGGATATACAGTAAAACCTCGTTATTAGTTCTCGATTAACCAGAGAGATATTCAACATTAATTCGTTATCATAATTGAAAAATGTGATTATATTTTGTGGTGATTTATCTAAATTCAATGAATCCATAATAATTATGTTATCGATCAACAAATAAGTTTTATAAATTAATTAATCTCGACACTTTGAATTATATTAATTTATAGAAGTTGAATCACATATATGAGGACCATATCAAGATTTTATCCTCTGGGGACCTCTTTCCCAAAGAGTTTCTGACTACTGAATGCTAATGTCACAATAATTCGAGAAGCAGTTAAAATATGAAATGCCTCAACACTTTGGGAAAAAAAAATCTTAAAACTACAAATAAAAAGGAATTATATTTTCTTTTTACTACAGTACTAACTTGATGAACTACATGCAATAACTTTGCAAATATAGTATTTTTACTCCTATTTTTGCGTGATTTTTAATTTTATGACGTGACAAACAAACTTGACGCATTTTACTTATATATTGAAGCTTGAGAATTTATAAATTCAACATCTAACTTATCATTTGTAGAACTTTAATTATGTGAGACGACTCATCTATAAATCAAATTAGAGGAGCATTTATAATATTTAAGTATTCATATAAATAAATTTCTACGAGTTTGTTAGGTACATCATTAAACGACGGCTAAAATTCAAAGTTTGAGTGAAATAGGACTAAAAAATACAAAATTTGCATAATTATTGCATGTAAAATTGAAATATGACAACTTATAGGATTAAATCTCTAAAGAAACCAACATATAGGACCAAAATTACAATTTTCCCAATATATTGATCTCTCGTTACATTTAATGATTAACCTTAAAATTCAATTCCTAGCATCAATCCGTTGTAGTCTAGTTGGTCAGGATACTCGGCTCTCACCCGAGAGACCCGGGTTCAAGTCCCGGCAACGGAATTTTTTTATTTTGCTCATTATTTAGATAAAAAGCAAAACTTGCATAGTGATGAGCATTTTGAAAAATTATTATTGGCGGTTTTATTGTTCGACTTCTATACGCATTTAAAGAAAAAAAACTTCTTGTTTTTCAACTTCTCTATTACACGAAGAAATAATCTACGACGCACGAAAGACGACGTAAATAAACAGCCGATTACACCGATCAACTTAACCCCTATCCCATAAGCATTCCTCCTTACCAAACAAGACCTTCTGATTGCCAATATCATACACAAACCTAACATTTTGCTGTTGGAATGAACCTAGTGCAGTCTTCTCGTCGTGCTTTTGCATCGCCAGACAGAACCGAACACTCGAGAAATGAAACAAATTCTCCTTCCCAATCTCGAAATCCCCTCCTTGGAAATGAAACACCATGTTCGGATAATTCCTAAACGCCCTCACGATACGGTAGCACAGCAGCCCTCCTTGCACGTCGACTCTCTGGAGCTTAAACCGTTCGAAATGACGCGTCAGCACCCTCACAACTTCGTTGTACGCACGTGTCTCAAGGTAACCCCCAGTGGACCCCACGTCTATCATGCAACCTCTCGTGAAGGTTCCGTTTGGCAGGTTCAGACGCCTCCCCGATATGCTTATGTCGAGCAAATTCACTCTGTAGTTGTAATCGATGTTGTTTATGAAGCTAGTCTCTCGTAAGCCTCTCCCCGTTTTAACGTTGTTTCCGAATCTCAATAGTGTTGTCTTGACAGAGGAGGTGATGGGCGGCAAGCAGTAGGAGAATTTTTGTGACAATTTTGCCCCTACTTGTCCGACCAACGAGAGCGGAGATCTGTTCATGCCCATTACACCCGTTATAGAACCCGCGAACTTGCCCTTTTGGTTATTCGCGCAGCCAAACACGAGCCCTTTTACGATCTCGCGGGACCCTCTTTTGTCCGAAGGGAAACTGAAAGATTCCGTCGATACGATTCCCGATGAAGATTCTCCAGTTTTGTAGAGTAGGTGGAAGCTGGAATCCCCGTTATTTGATCGGTTGAAATATCGAGCGTAGGGGTGGTTTGGGGCGAGTTTTTTATAAGATGTCGATTTTTTCGGATCGAAGAGGGGAGAATCTTGCTTGAAGCAGTTGACGCACGGTGTGCATTGTGTCCATGTGAGCTCGCTCCCCGTGTCGAAAATAAAGGTTTTTTTTGTGCTTGGTGTGCCGATATTTGCTTCGACGGTGTAGAGGGAATTCGTGAGGGTGATTCGAGGGTTAATTGTATTGGGAAAATAATAAATCGATTTATTTTGTGCGATATTTTTTCGAACGAGCTTTACGCTAAAGCTCGTTGGCTCTGAAGAAGAACTGAGGGAATTAATGCAAGAATTTAGTAATGCCAAATGAAGTGAAATGAATAAGAGAAAAGATTTTTGTGTAGCCACCATGTTTAGAGACATGTTTGTGTATGTATGTATATATAGCATTCTCATGTAATATATATACATAATTGAATTTGCTTTTCTTGGTGATATGGAGATAATAACTTGATTTAATTAGTTGATATCCATTGTTTGTTGTAGCATTTAATAAAGAGAACATAATATCAATCTCTGGTGTTAGACAATTTAGCTCTTATCTAAACCTATATCTCTAATAAATTATATATTCTCAAGACTTAATTCCACTTTTCACACTTCAAATATACCATTTAATTCGAAGGGTAATATGCCCCACACCCCCTCAAACCAAACTTAAATAGATATGAGTGACAGTCAAATAGAAAATTTTAGCTACATCCCTATTTCAAAATAAAATTTGATACACATTATTTGATTTTTATTTAACCAAAAAATACTCTTACAATACCTAATAAAAGTCACGTATTTTTTTTCTCATTTATTTCTCTCTCTCTCTTCCCCTTTCTCTCACTCCGCTCAACACGTCCCCCCCCCCCTCTCTCTCTCTCTCCTCCCTCTTTTCTTTTCTCTTCAATTATAGTGGAATAGTATAGAGGCGTTGACGGTGCTTATGGTGACAGCGGCGGCGGCTATGGTGGCGGCTATAGCGGCACTCAGTGTAGGGGTTGCATCTTGAGGCTTTGTGACACTGGGCAGAGAATGGCAGGCTCGTTTTTGTTTGCAACCAATACTGATGAGTCGTGAGGTGGGTCTGGGTGTCGGGGGAGGGAGAGGGGGGAGTAGTGGCGGTGGTGGTAGTGGTGGCGGCGGATCGGATCTAGGGTTTGGTGGAGAATATTTAAAATTTTTCGATTTGGATGTCTATGAGTGTCTTCGGGTATCTACGGTGTCTGGCGGCTAGGGTTTTCAAGATGTCTGTGGGTGTCTATGAATTACTATGTTTCCTACGGGTTTCTATAGATGTCAACGACCGAAAAATTAAAAAAAAACTATAATTTTCAATTTATGTAGAAAAGAAGGGGAAAAAATAGATTTTTATGTAATGGAAAAATATGAAAAATGAAAAAGGAAAAAGAAAAAACACGTAAAAATGAAAAAAATGCTAGATGCAAATTTAAAAATGTTAAATAATACCATAGTTCATCATAGTATATTTACAATCTGCTATAATTTCGAATTTGTGAGTAGAGGGGCATTTTTGGAATAAATTTCATAAATGATGTGAAGCAAATTTTAATTAGAGTTGTCATTTAGTTCTAATAAGATTTGTCACCAGGGACTTATATCTTAAGACCCCTTTAATTAATTTGCACCCTCAAAATAAATTAATAGTACTTTGCACCATCGAAACACAATAAATTATGTATAATTTATCTCAAATGAATTTTTAAAACTAATAAAGGTAATTTAATATTTTTCGTGATATTTTTTTAGATGACAAATGTAAAATTAATTTTTTTTATTTATCAATCATTTTGAAACTATAAAGTGCAAAAATAAAAGTAATTGAATCCATGATTTATTACAAAGAAGCAACATCTTTCCAAGGTCTTAAGCTTTGTTTCATAAAGATAGGTGCAAGAAGATGTAAAAAGTTCGAATATTTAATTTGATATTGGAAGTTATAATATGATATTATGCCATAATTTTAAGGTTTTTAAGCTTATTGGAAATTGTAATCTCATATTTAATACATTGAATCTTGCAATCCTAATAATTATATGTACACAGAGAAAAAAAATTCAAATTCAAATATTATAATTCAAGGACGTATTAGTAATTGGACCTAATGACTTTTTCTAAAATTATATAATTGATATTTTATGGTTGTCCAGAATCGGACCAAGCAGCAGTACCATTCATATATATCTTTTCATTTAGAATTTTAATACTGCATCATAAATTAGTAAAAAAATTGTGTTCTCAAAGTGCTACATTCATTGAACATTTTACAATTTTGAATACACAAGCAAATGGGAAAAGTTATTTGATAAATAGACAACGTTGAGCAAGTCTCTGTTTATATGTTTATATATTGTTTAGTTTTTACATAATATCAACAATCCGTTGTAGTCTAGTTGGTCAGGATACTCGGCTCTCACCCGAGAGACCCGGGTTCAAGTCCCGGCAACGGAAACCACTTTTTTGTTTTTTTTTTCAAATTTTAATATTTATTATTAAAACCTTAATTTTTCCTTTGATGTTTGTTTTAAAAATTAGTGTATAAAAAAGGGCTTCTCCCACTTTGCACCCTTGAAGTGTACTATTTTTATACTTTGCATCTCGAAAAATAAAATAATTATAACACTTGACACCCTCAAAACACAATAAGTCATTCACATTACACCCTGAATTGAATAATAAATGCAATTTCATTTTTTCATTGGTGTTTTTTTTTTCGGGTTGCAAAATAAAAACATAAATTGTTATTTTCTTAAACCTCCAACTTAATTTCGAGGGGAGAAAATGCGAAAAAATAAGAACTACACCAGATTATTTAAAAAAAACTATATTTTGTTACCAAAAAAAAAGCTTTTATCACTAAATTATTCGAATGATGGATCTTTTATTGTAACTCGTTGAAAATATTAGGTAAAAATATTTGGAAGAAAAGATGATTTTCAGATAACTTGATAACGGAATAGCTTAATGATTTTTTTCGTAAAATATTTTATTGTGATAAAAAAAATATAATTTTTAAATATGTTGCTGAAATGTATTTTTTTATTTTTCCACTTTATAGTTTCAAAATGATTGATAAAATCGAAAAAAAAAATATTTGACATTTGACATCCTAAAAAAATATCACAAAAAATATTAAATTATATTTTTTAGATTTAAAAATTCATTTGGAGTGTATTATACATGATTTATTGTGTTTCGAATGTGCAAAGTGCCAAAATAGTATATTTCAAAGATGCAAAGTGAGATTATGCCATAAAAAAGACGACCTGTTTGTCACATTTTCTCCTAAACCATTCATTACGCAAAGACATAAGAAACAAATTTTATTTCACAATCTTGAATTATTATTTTCTTAATGATACAAATGAGAATGAATCCAAACTCGATCAAGCTTTACTTTATCCAGGGAGCAATCCTCCTAACAAGAGTCTCTCATTCCCAACATCATATATAAACCTCACATTCTGCTGCTGATGAGCTCCAAGAATTGTCATATCATGCGCCCCGAACAATACCCTGTAAAACCGATCATTAACAAATCGGAACAAATTTTCAGGGTCAATCTCAAAATTGGCCCCCTGAAAATGGAGAACCATACTCGGATAGCTTCGAAACCCCCGTTGTAGACGACAGCCCAAATCCCCTTGATGACTCAAAATACTATTAACTCTTGTGAGATTAAACCTATCGGAAATACTGTCTAAGCACACTCAAAACGACCAGCCTTCTTAGAAAATCTTTAGGGTCCATTTGGATGGAAAAATTTGAAGAGGGATTTCAAATCCATAGTAACAAATCCCTTACACTTGTTTGGATTCAGAGATTTGACAAGAAATTTTAAATCTACATTCGTCCATTAAACTTGTTTCCAATAATTTTCCCAAATCAAATCTTTTCCAAATGGAACCTTAGTGTATATTAGGCCCCCGAGATGTCAGAAGCCTGCTCCCCCGTTAATAACAACAGTTTTATATTATCAAACTCTTAGGGTGCATTTTGATTGAAGGATTTGGAGGAGAAATTTCAAATCCATAATAACAAATTCCTAGCACTTACAAATGGAGCAATTGTCGTAAATTACAAATAACTCCAAATTGAACTCATTTCAAATCTTCCTCTAAATCCTATTCCCCAAATAAAATCTTCCAATACAAATGGACCCTTATATTCTTCAATACCAATCTTACTTATTCGATGAAATATTATACGGGCTCTTTGAGATACCCAAAATTTACTTGTTTTAATAGGTAACAATCCAACCATATTTTTAAAATTAGGGATAGATCCAACCAATTTTATTCCCTTCGCAATGTACATTAACACTACCCACTACCCCACATCTAAGAATCCGTTACTAATTAAATAAAAATCTTTAAAGAAAACAACAGGAAATAAAAAATTTCCTTATTGAAAAGAAATGAACTAAAACATAAATTAGCCTCAATTGTTCAACCGAGAGTTTGACGAATTACGAAATTAGGGCGACGAGGTATTGTATCTTAACCGCGGCTTGGGGTTTTAAACCAATGCACATAGATGATAGATGTCGTCATGACAGTGGAGAGAAAAGAGATACTCATATATACTTGATAAACTACAGAATATTATCTTATATATAAAAGGAAGATATTTTGACCTATAACCCTAAACCTAACCTAGGGACGTTTTAGTCATTTATCAATTATTTTAATGGTATTATTACTAATTATTGTTGTTGTTGTTGTTGTTGTTGTTGTTGTTGTTGTTGTTGTTGTTGTTGTTGTTGTTGTTGTTGTTGTTGTTGTTGTTGTTGTTGTTGTTGTTGTTGTTGTTGTTGTTGTTGTTGTTGTTGTTGTTGTTGTTGTTGTTGTTGTTGTTGTTGTTGTTGTTGTTGTTGTTGTTATTATTATTATTATTATTATTATTATTATTATTATTATTATTATTATTATTATTATTATTATTATTATTATTATTATTATTATTATTATTATTATTATTATTATTATTATTATTATTATTATTATTATTATTATTATTTATTATTATTATTATTATTATTATTTTTATTATTTATTATTATTAATTAGTATTATTATTATTAATATTTTATTATTATTACTACTACTCTACTACTACTATTTTATTTTTTAATTCTTTTAATATTTTTCTTATCAAATTTCTTGAAATATTTTTTTCATTTACAATAAATTTGAACTTAGTTGCAAATAAAATTAAATTATAAATCAATTCAGATTAATATTAAAATCAAAAATAAAATTAGAAATCAAATTTAACATGTTTAAATTATCAGAATTTTTTTAATTAGTGCTAATTCCACAAGGTGATTCCATATTATTTAA